TTTTAACCTCTACTTGCTCTGCCCGCCAATAGGGAGCTTTAAGCCAGCGGTAGCGGGAACTTTCAAAACTTGACCGAAAGAAGCCATAGTGAAATTTGAAAAAGTCCTTCAAGGGCTATTATTTTATTTGCTTTACCTTTTTATTGATTTTACACTGTTTAAACAAGTGTTTAATTTTGCACGTCAATTGGCGCTTAATTCAAGTGTGCATTTTCGAGACACTTTGTGTGGTGTCTAACTATGTTATACGTCAATTGGTGTTTAAACTTTCGACACTTCCGAAACGTATAGCAACTGCACACCGTATGGTTCCCTATTGGCAGCATAGAACTGTGTGTGTCTAAGTGTGCAGAATTTAAATATTTACAAAACGTCTGAAATTTGCACACCACGCAAGTGTGCAACTTGAGTTAAACACTATGTAATGTGCAAAATCACAACTTGCACACGTTTGGTGTGCAAATATTGCACACTTATTTTATCAGTGTAGTTCGAATCGTTTTCAATACAAATTCAGTTTTAACAACTGGGCTTTTCTCCGTGCCCTGGAGGTCAGCGAGCAGGTAGGCTAACCTGACAAGCGTTGTGCGGGGCTGCCTATGGCTGCCTATGGCTCCCAGCCGTAAGGCGCCACGATGTAACGTTATGCATTCAAACACGCCACGTGGTTTCAAAGCCAATATACTGGCATTCTATAGAGCTAACTCGAAAGCCAATACTCACTTACTAATGGTAAAAGAGTTGGCTGACCTCTTTGGTCCACAGCCTTGCCTGCCGTTTGTCTATCTTTTTTCCCTTGGAGAAATTGGATGGCCCTTCTAGTTCTGGCCTTCCCTTTCTCCACCCCACCCCTCATCGTGCAGGAGTGCATCACTCTACGACCGTGCCTCCGCTGACAACTCCCTCCCTTCCGCCTCCCAGCTCTCTCACGGCGGCTCCCACCCCAGCCACTCCACGACCCTGTACCCCTTAGCCATGGCCCTGCCTTCTACCCACACCACTCCCACGGCCGTGCGAGCTAAAACAGGGCGCCGCTACTTACAATAACACACAAGGACTCTCTTTACTCGTGCTGATTAACCCCCCCCCCC